GATTCATCAATGAAGGTGACTTAGGTCATATGAATACTTTTATTTTACTGTTACTTGGTTTTCCACCTATAGCAGTTCCTCAAACAACTGTCATACCTATCCTCAAACATGCTAAGGGATTTCAACCTGAATTGAAGAGAGTCAGCTACATTTATTATGGTTATGATCTTTGTTTACTGCTTTATGGCAACAGTGAGAACAAAAACCATCTAGCTAGAATTTTATTATATGAGGTAGAACAATCATAGAGTTACAAATTTCTTTCCCCTTCAACTTCTTACATAGAGAAAGTGTCAAAGCATTCCTTGCTCCTCTTAGCAGGACAGAGACACAGTCTGTCTTATTCCATAGCACTGTCCTTTACCAACCCTGTCTCCCCTCTTTTAGTGGAAAATTGAAGAAAGCATGTAGAACCTACCTAACTTTTCCTTTTTTCAGATGCTAATTTGGGGCAGAAGAGCCTGCATGGTTAAAATATGTGGTATGTATTTCTATTATATTTTATTACTGCATTTATTGACATTGTATTAGATAGAGTTGAATTTTTGTTTCAAGGTTATCACAAGTTATTTGTATATAATTTAATTTAATTTTTGCCCCAACTACCAATTGACAGGATGTATTTGTGGCAATTGTGGAAGAGAGGGAATAAGAAATAGTATGAAACAAATAGCACAATCAGCATAATATTTTAGAATTTATAAAGTACTTCCTCTATACACAACCTTATTCTGTTCTACTCTAGGATATTATATTAATTTTACAGAATAAGCAGCTGAGGCTTAGAACATTTTAAAAATTTACCCAAGGTCACAAAGCTGGGATCTGGCAAACTCAGGTCTTTCAACTGCTTGTCACAATTATTTTTTCCTCATTATACATTGACAAGTTGTTTGAGGGTATGCATTATTTCAGTCACTTACAGTGGATTTTGGCAGTTAAGAACACAGACATAGGCTTTGGAGTCAGGCATCCCTGAGTTTCCATCCATTGCTGCCACTCATTAGCTGCGTACCATGAAAAAGTTGCTTAACATCTGTCAGTCTCAGTTTTCTTAAATGTAAACTAGGTATTATAAGAATAAATTATATCTACATCTCAGAGTTACTCAACAAAACTAGTAGGATAACATAGGTATAGCCCAGAGCATCATGCATGGACCATAAGACTTCAGTAAATAGTAGTCATCATGGACAAGTACACAGGCAGTGAACAGACAGTGGACTGGCTGCTAAATCTTCATGCTTCCTAGTCCCAGTTTTGGTGGAAAGAACTTTTTTCTTTTCCTATTAGATATGTAGGTATAGTTTTCTCAGAAGAGGTAAACAGGCACAGAAATAACTATGGCTTTGCATGTTTAATAGAATCAAAGGTGGTATATATAGAGTTAATGAGTTTGTGACAGGCTAAAAGTGAGAAAAATAGCATAGGTAAACTGGAAATTACCACTTTAGTGGTAGTCATGATGTCATGACTTTAGTCATATAGTCATGATGACCATCAGTATGCACATATTGCTGCAACACTGTAGGATGCAAGGCAGAATTTGGCCATACACACAGGATATATCATTAGTCCAGTCACCAGTCCTAGTACTCATGTTGGTCACTGGCATGCATTTTTTCACTGGTCTGAAATGAAATGATAAAATCTTATAGTGATTTTTCATGAGCTAAATGTGTTCAGTATAAACACTTGCTCTTTATTTTCACATGTAATTTCAGCTTTTTTTGGCTGTTAAAATGTTCTTTTGGGAAGTAGTAGTGATAAGTAGTTAATTTTTTTAAGGTCTTTCCTAGACAAAATAAAAAGTTGGCAAATATATGTCAGCTCTCCTCACTAACTAATATTTATTTTGAAATCTCATAGTCTAGAAATCACTGAACCAGTTAACCTTCAAGATTTCTTACAGGTCTGGGAACCTAAACTCCTAGATATAAAAGGAATTTATCCATAAGGACCATTCAGTACCACCAGGCACAGCATTTTCAAGGAGACTTCAATGTATCTCATGCCTAGTAATTAATATTTTATATAGAGGTCCAATTGTTGTTCCTTAGGGAATTACAAACTAAGAACAGAGATGCAGATTGTTGTCCCCAGTAGCACAAGGAGAGTAGGATAGAAATATCAATCTTAATATACAGACTAATAATGAGTTATTTACAGCATATAACTTAGGGTGAGATAGGAGGCAAGACAAAAACCATAATGTGGGGAATGGGTGCTATTTGGAAGGAGTAGCCCTGTGTAGATTTATACCCAAACTAAACCAAAGAACCAAACAATCAGGTTATCATCTCTGAGTCAACCAGGACTATCTGGAAGTCCTTAAATGTTACTGAATTGCTTTCTTTGCCTCAATGTCCTGAGGCTGGACACTACTATAGAATTTCAGAGGTTGCGCTAGACAGTTTTAATTTAAAAAATGAAGAAAACACTTGTTGGTTTTTATTTTTATACTACATACAGATTTTGATGAAAATATTAAATACTGGTTAAAGTAATAGACCACCAAACAATTATAGAGCAGTTGGGTCAAATAAGTAAACATTGTGGTTAAAATTCATGATTAAGCATATTTTTCATTATATCCAGGTTCACCCTTAGTCACAAGAGTAAGGTACATTACTTATAGATACAGTTTTTAGTGAGTGAAATGATTTCTTTATTTCATTCAAGTGGCCTTCTTCTGGTCTCAGTTGATGTGACTTCTAAAAGCACATTCACTTGTAAACCAGGGATTGTTTTCTAGGCCCTTGGAAAAATCTGTCTCCTTGGTTTTAATTGTGAATATAGAAAATGTGCTAATTACTTCTGAATTTGCGAGATGATCAGGAAAATCCTCAAAATGGGAAAAACAAATTACTTAACAGAAACCTAAAACAAAATTTACTGTGACAATTTATTCTTCACATTCTTCTTGAGAGCAATATATGATTTTAGTGTGTTGAGCATGATTTGATTTATGATTTATTTCAGAGACATTTAATGAGTGCCTACTAAGTAAGAGCCTGGGTGTGAAGATATAAAGATACAAATTAAAATCTTTGCTCATCAGGTTGTCACTATCTCTAGGAGGTGCTCAGTGCACATTTTAAAAATACAATCATTTCTGCTGGAGCTTACACCATACCACACATCTGCACACAGAAACACACACATATTTAAAGAATCTAGATGTGGAAGAAATTTTCAGGAACTAAAGGAAGCAGGCCTTCGGGACCCACACCTATTAGACTCACATCTAATATTTCAGTATTTAACTTCTTGTTTTTTAAAATCATCTTTAAATAATATGTCATGGGTTTTCTTTCTCCTTTGGTCTCATTTTATACAGTCCTACTTCTAGAAAGAGGTCGTCATGAAACTTTCCATTCTAATCCAGCCTAACCTCTGGATTTCCTGGTTGCTTAGTTTGATAGAAGCTCCTCAGGGAACTTCAGTTGAAAGTCATCTGCTCCAGCCCCTTGCAGATTCCTTAATCCTGTGGGGTAGGGAAAGGGAGACAGGTTGCCATTTCAGTGTTTGTGGGCTCTGAGACTACCCCTGGGGAAAACCTTTGATCTGTATTTTAGAGTTTTGCAGGTTTGATATCTGGAGGCCTTGTGACGCTATGCATTCCCACACAGCATAAAGTAGTTCTCTTCATCTGCCAAGTAGAAGGCCCATTTTGTTTTTTTTTTTTCCTTCTGAGAAGCCAAAAGTGGGGTCCACTGGTCTGACGGCACAAATTAGGTTTGGTTTTTGCCCAGTGCTTTGGTTTGAGACCCAGGGTTGGAGCTGAGAAGTGCTGTGGGTCCCTGCTCCATGAGCCAGGGCAGGTGGTGCAAGGTGAAGTTGGTTCTGAGTTGTTGTTCTTGCACATCCAGGGAGCCTGCTTGTGGGCGGTCTCTGGCTGACTGTGGGTTGAATTTGAAAACCTGTCATTCTGTTCCACTCCAGCACCACAAAGGCTCTCCTCAAGGCTGTGCTGTGTTTGTGCACTAGAATAGCCAAGCAGTGGCTCAGATGGGCGCAGCGCTGCCCAGACCCAACACAGACCAGGTTGCTTTAATTTGGCTGAGGTCAGTGTAAATTGAAGCCCCTGAGACACTTTAACTTCGGTTGCAGGCATAACGGAGCCATGCATGGACCCTTATGCCCCTTTGGAGGAATAAGCCCTTTTGACCTGGTCACTCTGTGCATTCCTTCTGGCCACTCTTTGCCCTATCTAGGTGAGAGGATGCTTCTGGGTGACTGTCCAGTGCATCGCAGAGGTTCCAATTTATGTCCACGAAGTCTCCCTCTGCACTCTATGCTTTGGCAGGAATCAGTCATCATAGGAAACAGGACCCCATCTGCAACTTAACTACCCTACTCGGCTGCTTCGGACCCAAAGGGAAAGGCCTGGAGTGGGCGAAATGCCTGATGCTCTCAGGATAAAGAGGCGCATGCCGGTTGTGGACACTTTACTCCAGTGTGCCCAGGGCTGGTGCTGGGCTTTCCTATCGGGGTTGGAGGTACAATGGTCTTCCCCAGAGCCTTGCCGGGAAGGAAGTGAAAACAAGACATCTAACCCCCAGCTCTAAAACTTAATATAATAGTACTGCTTCTATCCCTCCATCTGCTTCCTGACCCTAGAGGGTTAAATCAGGAGGGTACAACGCCACCCCTTCCTCCTACTTCCCGCCTCTCTCCCCACCCATTCCCTTACCTTTAAAAAGTTAAAAAATGTCTGCAGTCGAAATCTCTTAAAGGGGCGGTGCTGGTGAACGAGTACTCTTGGCACGAGTCGCAGAGAAGGCTGGCTAGGGGCGTGAGTTTGCTCCACCAAGCACCAAAACAGAGAAGAAGGAAAAAAAAAAGGAAAAAGAAAAAAAAAAAAAGAGAAAGAGCAAGAGGGGGGGAAAGGAAGGAAAAAAAGGGGGGGAATAGCAGACAGACACACACTTTAGATAAGGACAATTAGTCACCAGCCAGACCCTGTGGGAAGACAGGTTTAAATCAGAGGGATTTTAATGAGGGTGCTCTGTGCCTTCCCTGAAGCCATGCCCTCCAGCAACTCCTGCCCCCCCTCGTGCCTAGCCCCAGTGGCTCTCTTCTTGGCTCTGTTGCTCCATCTCTTCCTTTCCTCCCAAGCTGGAGACAGGAGACCCTTGCCTGTAGACAGAGCTCCAGGTTTGAAGGAAAAGACTCTGATTCTACTTGATGTGAGCACCAAGAACCCAATCAGGACAGTCAATGAGAACTTCCTCTCTCTGCAGCTGGATCCGTCCATCATTCATGATGGCTGGCTCGATTTCTTAAGGTAAGGCAGGGGCTTCAATGGATTTTTTTAAAAAAGTAACAACCCCCACCCCTTCCTATATCCCATTCCAAAGGGGGAAGAAGAAGAAGAAGAAGAAAATAAACCAAGCGGATCTCTCAAAGAGAAGAAAGGAGGTTTTCCTCCTCCTGGAATATTTGCTGTGAGGCTGTAACTGGTGATTGAGAAAAGCAATGTTTTCTATTAAGATGCACATGTTTGCAATGCAGAAGGCATTTCAGAAACTTATCAGTTATGACTGAAAAAATGTTGTGCTTACATATACCCACAATTAGCCTCCTCATTTTCTCAAAAAGAAACAAGAGGTTCAGAGTAGTTATAAAAATGAAGAAAAGGTTTGGAGCAACAAAGACCCGAGAAGAATGCGTGTATGTGTGTGAGAGAGTGCATGTCTGTGTGTGTCTGTGAGTGTTCAAGTGGGGAATCGCATGAAAGTGGAATTTTCCACGGAAAGATAGTCTCATCAGTTCTTTCCCACTCCCAGACTAAACAAGTTTAAGTAGAGGCTTGAGCAGTGGGCAAGTTGGGTCAGATTTTTAAACTTTTATTTTATATATGTCCTCAACTGTTGTCTCCATACTTAAGGACTTTGTAAGACGCTTTTAAATAGACCGAATGGCCCCTCAATCCCTCCTCCTCAAATCTCCTGCGGTAACTGCATAGTTTTTCTTTAAAGAAAAAAAAAAATCCTCGGGTCATGGCGTATATAAGGAGAGCGGAAAGGGTTCTAGAAATACTCCGGGGATGTTTTGGAAGTCTGACCCAGGCACTGGTGGATTAGCAAACCCGGAGGTTTGTGCTCAAGGACTCCCTTACTCTAGGGCTTGGAATCTAACAGGGTTCGCTGTCTTCCACCTCTTCGTTAAGTGGTAGCAGTTAGGCAATCACTATCCCATCCCATCATGGGCAGAGTTGCAGTATTAAAAAAAAAAAAATTGCAATGTCGAATCCAAGTGTTGAGTTTTTAAAAATTCCCTCCAAATTGGAGCCTCAGCTGTGGGCTCTCCCGAAGAGTCCAGAGCGCTCTCAGTCCCGTTTCTCCGCCCCGAGGCCGCGTCCACCGCGCGTCTTCCGTGAGTATCTTTCACTCCTCGAGAAATTCAGAGTTTTGCCTCTCGCGTGTGCCCGCCCCTCAGCCCTCTGAGTCTCCTCGGGCCTCTGCCGGTTCAGCGGACGCGGCAGGTAGCAGGCAGCGCAACGTGGGGCGCTCCTTCCACCTGAAGCAGGCATTGTGTGAGGATGAGTGCTGCTGCCTCCGCCGAGACCTTTTCGGCTAGCCCTCGGTGGGAGGGCAGGAACAGCTCCTCGCCACTCTGGAAGCTCCTCGGGAAGCAGAACCCGTCTCCAGCCCGTCCCCAGGTGGGGCGGCGGGTTTGCCAAAATACAAGCCCCGTTTGCATTGCACTTCTCCAGCTGTGCGTTAAGGATTCTTTTTTTGAAAACCATTCTGTTCACGACAAATGCTTGCCACAGAAAAGATTCCTGGAAGGCAGCACTGGGGGAAGAAGCCGTGCGGGGCGCATTTGCATTGGCTGTGGAGGCTTCCGGACGGACGGTTGCTGGCCACGCTGTTTCCGCGGGGCTGGACTCGCGCGAATGTCTTCTGTGCCCGCCAAGGGCCCACGCGCCGCCCGGAACGCAGTCCTGCAGCCCTCCGGCACCGGGCTGCCCCGGGCGGCCAGGCTGCTTAGAAAGTCCCTAAGCGGAATCTCTGGTGGTTTTCCTCTTCCTTATCCACTGCCTTTGAGATGCTTCTTAGTTTCTCCATTTGGTTGTGGATTTTAAGAACCTGAACCAGCAAAGCGTTAAAACTAAATTACAGATCTGGAACTCAACAGCTGATTCCCTTAGCACTGAGCATCTGCATTTCTCTTTTTTCCACCCCTTTCCGAAATAGCAGTTGGCTTAAAAAGAAAAAAAAAACCCATTTATGGAAATCCTGAACCTAAATAGAGGTAAATGCTATTGTTCTGGTGTTCCTCGAGTTTCCTCCTACGCGTAGGTTCCACATTTCGGCAAACTTCACTTTCCCCATCATTTCCAAATGACCCCAAGTATGAAAGAGATAAGATGGAATCCAGCTGGGGGGGGTGGTGGAGAAAAGAAGGATACCTTTCTGAATCGGTCTGAATAACTGCAGGGGTCAAAGAGACATTGCCCCTGTTGTGCAAGGCAGCGATGGGGAGTATTCACAGAAAGGCGAGGGTTTACCCCGGGAATCTCTCGTCCAGGGATTTGGGAGATCGATGCGGTTGCTATAAAGTAGTGGGAAAGGAGAATCAACTTTGGCATTAACTTGACATCAGGTGCCTGGTCTGAGAGGATAAAAAAAGATTTCACCTTCTCTACTGAGGTGGTGGTGCCCCTGGGGCCGAGGAAGCAGATCTCCGGTTTCAAGTCTAAGTCTTGCGGTCCGCGCTGCACGTTTCTTTCAGAAGCGCTTTCCCCGCAGAACAGGTCAATTGCGCTTTAGCCTCTTGTTCTCGGAAGTGCCCCCGCCCGCCCTCCCCCCACACTGTTAACACAGTCTAACCCTTTGGAAATAAGTACATTTGGCGAACAATATCGGGGTGTCTGTGGGAGGAGGCCAAGGCCAGCTGGGCGCAGGAGGAATAGCCCCCAGGAGCTGGGCGGCCAAGTGCTGGGTGGGCAGGGGTGCTGGGCGGTCAGGGGTGCTGGGGAGTCAGGGGTGCTGGGCGCACGTGAGAAGCTGGGGTGACCAGGGGTCCGCGCGGTCTTCGGCCTGGGGCAGACACCTAGCTTCTGCTAGGTTGCCGGCCGAGAGTGGGAAGAGAGCTTGCAGGATGCCCCACGGCCTCTCGCCTTCCCTCGGGATTTTTTCTTTTTCTCTGTCCCTGCAGCTCCAAGCGTCTGGTGACCTTGGCCCGGGGACTTTCGCCAGCCTTTCTGCGCTTTGGGGGTAAACGGACTGACTTCCTGCAGTTCCAGAACTTGAGGAACCCGGCGAAAAGCCGCGGGGGGCCCGGCCCGGATTACTATCTTAAAAACTACGAGGATGGTGAGAAACTTGCTTCCCATTCTTGCAGGGTGGGGGAAGCTTGAGGAGTGGGAGCGAGCAGTGAATGTGTGTGTGTAGTGGTTAGATTCGGAGGAGAGCCTGCTAGAAGCTTCCCTGAAAAGCTGGTAGCTGCGGGCAAGGGCACACGGGTGTGTTGGGCTAGTGACTTAATTACGTAAAGGGGGCCCCCAGGTAAAGTAGCTGGGGTCCCCGCCGCTGGCCTGCCATTGGACTGCTGAGTCCTGAGGCCATTAACTGATAGTCGAAACTTCTGTTAGGCTAGTCCTGTGGGGAGAAGAGGTAGTGGGTTTCTTGAATTAATACAGGCAGGTTCATAGGTTACTAAAGGGCCAGGCTTATGTTTCATTACTGAAATTCTACAAAAAAATAGCTATTTTTCTTATTCCTTGCTTTCCTGTGAGAAGATACAGCTTTTTTTTTTTTTTTTAAACCCACTCTAAAGTTTTCTGGAATAATCCCTTTTAGATTGGTCCCTTGTTAGAGAGGGTTTGAAAATCTCCACAGTAGGGTCTCCTTCAGATCCCCTAATCTCAGTCAATTTTTTTCATTTAAAAATGGGATTATAAATACCAGGTTTTTTCCCCCTGCTAGGATCAGATGAATTAAGCATCAGGCTTTGAAAACTCCAAATCCTATTTCAGTTTAAGAGGCCAATCTTTTTAGGTGTTCTTACTAGGGAAAAAAATGAAAATGGTATTTAAAAAAACTTAGAGGGTTTGGTGTTAATATGTATGAACTTTCTGTGTGGGCAAAGGTACACACTTTCGTCATACAGGCAACATGGGAGTTGGTGGCTCCTCAGCCACTGAAGCTGTTTAGGTTGGATAGAAGAGGCATTGGTGTCCGTCCTTGGAGGGCTATCTCTGTCCTGCTGTTCCTTCCCATAAGTGAGCTACAGTTTTATTTTCAAAGGGTTCAGGGACAGTTTCTCAGCATTCCCTGGGTTTTGTTACATCTCATCCTTATAAATCAGCAAAATGGGGAAATGCTGTTGTATTTTCTGGGGCTTTCACTGAATGGGAATTCTAGTGAGGTATTGGGATTTATTTCAAAGGTGGCTGAGAAGCTTTTTTTCTTAAGTGTCAGAATGGAGAAAGAGAGCAAGGGTGAGGCTTCTTGAGTCTGAAGTGTAAATAGGACTTCCTCTTTTAAAACATTTGCCAAAATGTGTAGTTATTTAAGGCTACATCTTTTCAAAGGTAAATAAATGTCATTACCATAAAGAGTAGATTGCAAGTAGATTTTGCTGTCACTCAGCATAAAATGCTGAAAGGTAAAAGATAATCCTGAACAGCATCTCTGTTGGTAATTTGACCCAGGGCCTTATAGCTCCTAGGGTCACTGTCAGCTCTGAGATCAGACACAGGAATGGAAAATATTAATGTTTTCCTGATGAAACAGCTCTTCTTTGAATCCATTTGGAATACTTCCTCTTTAGTTTGTAGGAGAACTTGTAAGAGCCCCAGGAACCACTGGGGGGAAAATGACCATTATAAGTTATAGGAATTGGCCTTTTTCTCCCAAACTTGTACCTAGGATTATATTTATGATTCATTGAGAACATGAGATCATCTTCAAATGAAGGTCGCAATTTGTTTCCCTTTATAAAAGGAGAAAGTGGGCATATTGTGGAGAGAAAGGAAATTGGCAAAAGACTATGCCCCATAAAACTTCATAGAATTAAAAAAAATCAGAATTGGAAAAGGTCTAAGAGATCATCTTTAATCCTCCCACCACTTCAGGGACCAGTACAGGATTATTCCTTATGGAATCCTTTTCTTGTTTTGTCCAACCTGGCATTAAATATCTCTAGGAATGTAGTTTTCACCACTTCTGTGGGAGTGAGTTCTTCTGTCCCATTAGGTTTTTGCCAGCAAGCTTATCCTGAGATTTCCTTTTATAAATATTCCCTAAATATTTATGATTATTTTTGTATTTTTTAGACTTCTACCTTCAAAATAATTTCTAACCTCGGTGTGTCAGCTTCAGAAAAAGGTTTCCTCATAGCTGATTTTTATCTAGACTACCTGGATTTAATTCTTTTAAAACTTTCTTTAAAGTCAGTCCTTCTAGACACTAATCTGTTTTATTGCTCCTAGCTGAACTCCTTTTGATTTATATCTCTGCGGTAATAAGATGCTCTGAACTATATCAGTATTTGAAGCCTTAGCAGAGTTAAAGAGAGTGGGGATGCCCTATTTCTGCCCTTTGATGCTCACATATCCTTAAATCACCCATGCTGTCTTTGTTGTTGCATGTTGTATTGCAGAATTCAAGGCAAAATTGTCTTTGCTATAGTCTCAGCAATTTAGAAAAATTATACTTCAGTTGTTATCTTTTTCACTCACTGATAATTGTCATCATCATGAACATCTTAAAATAATTAAGTGTTCTTAGTAAATGGTATTTAGGCGTAAGTACCTTGTTTTAAAAAAAGAAGATCTTCTGACTTGAACATAATATTGTATACTAACAGAAAGTCATGTGGCTTCTATTTTCCAAGTACTTTTTAAGCACTTTAATGCTACTGTGTTTTCTCTTTCTAAAGCCACTGTTTATCACTTTGGGAACTTTTTTGTTACTCCTTTAATACACTCTATGCTTAGGAAACTTAAATTTCATACAAACATAGTGATGATGGAGGAAATAAAAATTGGATTGTTCTTCATACCTTGGAATCTTACCCTTTGCCTAACTTCCTCTCTGTTCTGTGATGTTATGCTTTACTTGCTCCCAACAAAGAAATCTTGGATTAATCTTTTGTTCGTAAGTTTATTTTGCTCCACTCTGCCCTTCTTTGTTACATATTCAGTGTGCTTTCTTTATATACCTGTCTCCTTACTGCCATAACCATGTCTTTAATTAAGATGTATACCATTTATTATGCACATCAAAAGGTAGCTTAAGTATTTCTAAAATGTCACATTCATTATGTCATTCTTTAAAAGCTTTTTTTGTTTTTCAATTACAGTTGACATAAGAATATCATATTAGTTTGAGGTATATCATGTCAGTCTTTTGCTAAAAAACTTTGATTATTTTTGGATTGCTTACAGAAAATGTTCAAACTCCTCAACTTGGCATTCAAAACCTTTTACATTTCAGTCTCAGCTTACCTTCTGTACCTTATGTTTTTATATATCTTTACAACCCTACTTGATTTCACTGTCTTCTTAAAGCACGGTCTCAACCCCATACCTTTGTTCAGCTGATATATCTCTGCTTTGAATGCCTTTCTTTTGGCTTTGTTCAAATCTCACTCCTACTCTGCCCAATTCCTGAAGGACTATTGCAAATGCCCCTTATTTTCACAAAGCCTTTCCTGAACAGGGCATTCCACAGTGATCTCTTCTTTCTTTGGACTGTTCAAGCTTTTAACTCTTTATGCTGTTCTTTTGGCCCCTTCATCCTTGTTTTGCTGTTTAACTTTACACACATATATTTGCGTCTTTTACCTTTCCAACTACAATGCTCATTCTTTATAGGAAGGGATCATAACTAATTATTGTGCATTTCAAAATATCTAGCATTATGTAAGATACGTAGAACTTAAGCAACTATTTTTGGAAACATAATAGGTTAAGAGCACTGTTAAAGGCACTGGGAAAATGTAGGTGACCAATGGAAAAATGAATGAATATTCTATTCTTTTTTCACTTTCAATGCATGTTCCCATGAAGTCTGTTCTTAATGCTTAGTTTAATAATATTCTTCATCATTTTAACCATGTCCTCTTTATCTTTGGCTGTCTAAGTTATCTTGGTTTCACACTCTGGATTAAATCAACTTTTTCACCTGGTTTAAAGCCTTACACTGGACCCACACTATTTTTTTAAATCGTATCTGTTTCTTTTTTGCTTTTTCCTTGTTAGCCTTATGTAATTTCTATGCCTAACTTTCCAATTCCTGATATATTAGTGCCTTTTCACAAGTTAAAACACTTTTTTTTGTATCTCCATCTCTTGAAAATTTTCTTTTCAGAGAGCTTCTGAAATCCTAAATGATGAATGTGAGTACACTGTGTAAACTCTAAGGTCCTATACAACTATTATTATTTTTCTTCTTTCTCCAGGAATTTTTCCCAGGTTTAATTAGAGGTGAGGTAACTAATTCTTTTTAGTTCTATCCCCATTGCATTAATAAAAATATGACATATGAATGGCATATCTACCAAAAATACATATTTGCCTTGTCCTCATCTACCTTTCATTATCTCATTGTACATAAATGTGTCTTGAAATTAAATTATACTTAACAAGTATTTATTGATTATCTACTTGGTGTTTAGTTTCATGCTGGACAAAGAATGGCAAAATATGAAGTAAGTAAAAGATACTGTCCTAAATCACCATTAGAACACAATGTGAAAAACAATAGTGAAAACTGCTAAAGGCAAGATCTTTTAATTGGTGTTAAAATAAGTAGAGGAAACTTTAAAGTAAAACAGAATATGTGCATAGCCTCTAGAATATTTATTAATCAATTATTGTGGTGGTTTTAGCATATGTCCTTAAATTCTTTGATACTTCTTCCTCTAGGATAAGGTGATTGGCTTCTCTCCTCTTGAGTATAGACTGACTTTAATGACTTGCTTCTTAAAGAAGAGAGTCGGTACAGGGGAAATTGTTAACTTCATGGTGGAGAAACTGGCAGACATTATTTTAGCAAAGTGATCAAGGTTAACACCAGCAGATAAGTCATGTTGTCATCATGTATTTCCTGATATGATGTGATGAGAAAGGCATTTCACCTTTGTGATATTCTTTCCTCAAATCCATAACTCTCTGTAAATCTGAGAAAATGCTAGTAAAACCCAAACTGAAGGGCACTACAAAATATCTGACCTTACCCATCAACATACACTGTTCCTGTTGTCAGTGAACAAATAGCTTAGTGAGACACTATTACAGATAAAACTGAGGAGTAACCCTAAGACAACATGTCATAGAGTGCTAAGTAGAACATAATAGTTTGCCAAG